ATTAAACATTGCTATTGTCCATAGTTATGTAAACGTTTACCAGAGGGTAGACATTAGACATAGATAGCCTACTTAGGGGACTTACAATCACCAGGGTTGCTAACCACGTGCGAATTGTGATTATCCGACTATCCTCTGAGTATGCGCAATAATGTTAAGATTTGTAAACCACCAATTTGTTGATAGGGTACCAATCATTATGATTAATTTTGAAAAATCTTTAGGGGGTAACCCCCAAATGAAGAGTCCGGGGTTTATCAAGCCAGCGTTTTGTTTCTAACACAATAAATCATGAGGCTAGTTTGATTCATATTCAGGGGATTAATAGATATCTGGAATTATCTGGATATCAATCAATTTAGTGTTTACCATATAATTTGATCCCAACTCCCTAGAATTTAAATCTATTCATAATGTTTTATGGTGATAAAGTGGAATATAATTAGTGAACATTAATAGGATACATACCCAACTCAGAATGATATGGTTTGTAATTGATCACATTTAATTTTACATGAATCTAAGTTATGTATAGTTACGTGACAATGAGAAGATAAGATTTCCTAATTTTGGTTGGACCCACAAACTCAAAAAAGGCGCATATTGGTGAAATAGAATAACTTTTGCCAAAAAAACATGGAGAAATACCATGGGGTAAACTAACATAGCGGTGGAAAATGACTGGTTTTCCTAGGAAGTGATCTACAAATAGTGGCTTCTCCACATCTATGTGAGTTTACCAGAGGATATCTCCAGGTTGCCAGCCCCCAAAAAAAGCGTTGGTGATTCAACATAGCCGTGGAAGGCATGGCCCGTGTATAGACTGTGTACCTATCATCCTCTGGTAAACATACAAGAAACTTTGCAAAATCGACATGTTTAATGGGTAAATCAACTATTTCTATGGCTATTTTCAATAGCACACTGTTACATTCAACTAACATAACTATGTAAATCAACTATTTCTATGGCCATGGCTTCAATACAAACTCTAAGAAATTACCGGCAAACGTGATGATTTCCATAGCGTAGGTCAAATGGTCAAGTTATCTCCTGACATCCAGGTATTCCCATCATTTTTGTTTGGTTAAAACCCCGATAAATCGCCAGTTGCATATTTTTTAGAAAGGGATGTTGGGAATCGGTGAAACCCGACTATGTCCCATTATATCATATCAACTTATATCCGATTATATCCCACTATATCCCATTCGGCCATTTAATCTGATATGTTCTAATTATATTCTATTCGTGTTCTTTTCAACCAGTATATCCTGGGGTTGCTCCAATCCATTATAGAAATCTTCATAGCCACAAGGGCAAATTGGTCATTTTACTTCTATATGTTAGCCCATTTACCACCCAAAAGTACCTGGGGTGTTTGGAGCAACCCTGTTACTTGGATGTGCATGCCACTTAGTAAGTGGTTTACATTCCATTAATAAATATATGTACGCATATATAATTAAGCTATAAATATATAGGCTATATAGAAGCGATATATATATAAGCTATATATAAGCGATATCATTCCATATAGTCCCACATGAGTAAGTGGGGATCTTCCATTAATAGTATTAACTACTAGTTCCATTTATGATCATTCCAGAAAAGTATTGAATTACATTCATATTATTTAAATACAAATTCCATATATTACAATACCAACCCTGCTACTGGCGGGAGAATGCCATTTACTAAGTGGCTCCCAGCGTTCCCCAAGTTTCTTCCGCTTGAGGCAGCTCATCACGCCCCAGGTGCGGAATGGTTGAAGGTTAGGAGTTATGAGTTATACGTGTCAATTGCAATGACAACATATGTTAGTTGAGTTATGATATTGGGATTATAACTAAGATATGTTGATATCATTGATAAATGGTGATTGGTAAATTTCTTGGGACTTATACCACCCAATTTACTGGGCATTCTGAGCTAACCCATCGTAGGGAAAGCTATCAACATTATCAACCAACTAGTGCTTCTTGAGATGGGATGGGGATCATTTTTTTGGTTAGTCTTTAGACGCGTTCGCTGTTACAGGGAGAAGATTGAAATAACACGGAGCGCCATCAATGGAATCAAATATAATGGTGTTAAAGTTGGCTACAACAATATGAGATCAGAGTCTGGGTTTACTGATATATAACAGTAGTAATATGTAGTAATAATAGCAACAATGGGGAGTTTACTGATATATGCAGCGCCCTGTCCGATGGCTATGTTGTCAATGAAGAAATGACGCGTGGCTTGAAGACTTTTCTTGGGTGCGGAGCCGCGGCGCCCGACAACTGTGGCGGCTGCGGCAACTTTGACTTGAGGATTGCTTAAACTACGCATATTCTTCTTGTGAAGGAAACTAGATATGATGTCAGAGACTGTGCTGCCTGCCTGTTTTGGCACCAGTGTGAGCCTAGTTGGCACAAGATTGTCTGGCAAAATACTGCTTCACACATGAAAACAGGTATATAATTTTTCCCATAATTCCGAAAAGACTTGAGTATTTTGTAGTACAAAATTCACCGTTACACCTCATCATACAAGATGTTTCATGGGGAAGCAACCAGACATCAGCATCTTTCAGGGTCGGTGAAGTATCATAGTTTGGCTAGTTGCAAACGGGGTTTTAAGATGTTTCAATCCCGGTAAAGATTGTATGTTTTCTTGGTAAACCCCAACACGAACTGCATTGCGTAGTTCTTGACCATGGCCAGAAATTTGGGAAAAGGCTGGATAGATCTTAAACTGACTGATATGGTTGATTAATCCAGTCAGTTTTAGTCAAGAAATGTATGCATGACGGATGTATACACGATTATACATGCTTACAAACCAACAGAACCGCCAGTTGTTTTTCTATATTTCATTGGATTGGTTTAAGGGAAGGATTACAGGAAACCCTTTATTTCATGGAGAAAACCATGGTTTCCTGTAGATGTTCCCTTGAACCAATCCACTGAATCGAAGATGAGGTTTCCAAACGTTTCCTCGCAAATTGACAGTATAACTCAATCCGATCATCCGACACAGCTCTGTACGCACCACACAAATTCCCAATTACTCATTTGAGCTGTGGCGGCTAAACTCTGTTAGTTGATGAGTATAGTTATTTATTTTTAAATGACGGTTTGACCATTATCTATATGGGTTTTAACCATCAACAATATGGGGATATAAAAATGAGTACTAAATGATGGTTAAAGCCCATCAATCATATCAATATTGTGCTAAATAGTTATTGTGCCCATGGGTTTAACCATCTATATGGGCTTTAACCATCATTTAACCACCATTTATCAATATGGTTGTTGATGATTATGTTTAGTTCACCGGGGGTACCCTTAAATTAGAAATCTTGGGGATGATCACATGGGTATTCAAAGTCAACTGCAGCCAGAAAAACTGGCCACCCAAGTTGGACTTACGAATGAAAGGTTGATTCAAAATTCGATATTGACATGGGAAACATATTATATATATATAAATACAATAATATATTATAGACAGATGTTGAGTGATTTGTTCAAGGCACAGAAGCCATGCTGGTTTAATCGCTGGAGCATCATCAGGCTTGATCTTAGGGCACGCTGGGATCATCCCACAACCGCATCGGATCTGTCTCCCGCAACCACCCGGATCTGTCTCCCGCTACGGATGTTATTGCGGCTGTATCCGTAAAGCATTTTTTGGGGGGGGATACACATATTTACATTGGCACCTATCAACCGAGTAATACTGTATTTCATGGGATAGGGTTGACTTTTTCATGGCTTAAGTACTAGTGCAATTGATCTAGTTGTATCTAGTTGTTGGTTTCAAGATGTTTCAAGCATTTCTTAATTTTCTGCCTGGAAATGGAACGATGATTCCAACTGACAAACATTTTTCAGAGGGTTTGAAACCCCCCAACGAGTTCTTTCAACCTTATCATCCCCTTTTTTTCCTAGTTGAATCTCAATGTCTGATGGTAAGACCATCATATTATCCCCTCTTATATTATCTTTCAACCTTATTTTCCCCAGGGTTTGAATCTCAATGTTTGATGGTAAGACCATCATATTTTCGGATGAGAAACCGCGGAGGCTATCCCCCGCAATCCGCCCAGAGCTACGTGGGTGTGACGCCTGGTGGGGGCAGGTGGCTTACCACAAAGCAAAACGATGATTTAAGCAACGAAAACTGAGAGTTATTAAGATTTATCTGGCTATTATCTATGTTTTAATTGTATATTAATGTACAATGTATGTATATATATATACATATATGTCTATATATATACATGTATCTGGGTAAATTATCATATTTCACTCACCTGAATCTTGCGGCCATTTTGGGATGATTCCCCTTACGAACTATGATTTCCAGTGAGGTCGTAGTGAGGTCGTTATAATTTACCCAGATGTATATATATATATGTATATATATGGTCAGCGCCCCCCCCCCCACGACCCGCAACTTTACATATAACATAGGGGTGCTGGCCAGGCGGATATTATCCTATCCTCTTACAACATTATATATATATACATATTTAGCTATTTTCATACTACACCACATACATCTATATACATATAATGGATTTGTCCAAGCATATAGGATCTGCCTCAATTATTGTTATATTTGTTTTAATGGTGGAACATAATGTGTTTAAATCATTGGATGTCAAGGGTACTCCATTTTTGAGACAAACCAGTACCGTATTTGAATGTACCTGTTGCGATATAGGACAATTGGAGTTGTGCTGATTCAAGCAGCTCTCCACTGAAACCTCTAATTTCCATACTTTTTAAAACCTCCTTTTCCTCATCAAAGCCCCTAAAATCCTAGTGTTTGAAACTTCATTTTCAGCATCAAGAAACCACCATGGTTTGAAAGTTTGAAACATCATTTTATTCTCATTCCCCCATTAAAACATATTAAAACTCCCAGTTTCCATTCAACAAACTGCAAAATCTAGGGTTGTTAACAACCCCTAAAATCTCGCTGTTTTTAGAGCTCTCCAGGTCAACAGCCATACGGCAGCCAGCAGCCTTATGTGTCGAGTCAACAAGCGGTTCGGACGCCTGGGCTTGGGGTGCCCGAAAAATTTCGAGGTTTGGGAAAAGGTGGGTGCCCCAATAGCTGGATGGTTTATTTCATGGAAAATCCCATCTATGAATGGATGATTTGGGGGTATCCCTATTTTAGGAAACCTCCATATATATCTATATATTATATATATGGTGATTTAATGGGGGTACAATGGACATTGCCAACCGACTGGATCGGTAGAAACTAATCCGACTAATTGTTTCTTTGGCTATAAATGGAACATAACCATAAGCAGCAAAAGATTGATGATGATATGGTGATTTAATGGGAGTAGTATGGGAGGCTAAATGACATTAATGTTAGATATGTTAGTAAAGAAATTAAACATGGTTGATATCAACCATTTATCGTGAAATTGGGGGATGGTTTACTCTTACTTTACTATGATATAATGAAAGTAGCCAACAAGTTTTGTCATTTATCCACAAATTTATAATTTAAGTACCAAACAATGCGGTTGTAATGGAATATAGTGGGTGTACAAAGGGAATAATTGATTGCACATAGGATCAATTGTGGAATTAATGGGATTTAACATGGTTTAATCATCATTTCACGAGAGATGATATGTGAAACAAAACAGAATGGTGATTTAACCAGGAAGAATTGGAATTATCATGGGAATATGTACCCTCTGGTAATTTAACATAGCTATAGAAAATCACCATTTTCAATGGGAAAATCAACTATAAATCACCATTTTCAATAGCAAACTGTTAGTTTACCAGAGGGTATATGTGGTGTATTAACATATAAATTTAAGAGGATTTAAACATCAAACGTTGGGATTGAACGGGAATATCCAAGCCATACTCTCTGATAATGGAAGCCATGGCGCTTAGCGAACGTTATTTAGTTGTGTTGTTTCCGCTATGTAACAAATTCCCGGAGAGTATATGGGGTAAATATACTCTAAAGTGTAGTGTATACGTATATGTATATATTATATATTATATATTATATATTATATATTATATATTATATATTATATATTATATATTATATATTATATATTGTCATTAGCCTGGATTTTGCTACACCACTTGACTGTTGATCTGGGTACCATGTAAGTACACAGACGCCTAGCTGGGATTCCCGATGACTCGATGCATGTGTCTCTTGTGAATTGAAACTTATCGACTGTTTATAGAAAAAAAAGAGATGAACAAGTATGAAGAAATCCATAGAAATCCTAGATAAGATAGATAGTTGTAGGGTTTGAATATGAAGCCTGCAATTCAAGCCCAAGGATGAACCAATTCTATGAGGACTGAGAAATGTAAGCGGCAGATAGCGGCAGTATATCCCCCATATTTGGCCTGTATGATCCATGGTTTCCTTTCTAACAAGCCCTCAAAAGATGCAAAAACAATACACAATATAACAAGAGTAAAATCCAATTCTAAAAGACAATTTGTTTGCTTTCAGAATCCATATTTTCAAACATGTCTAACAAACGACAACTTATTTGCATTGTTTTTGGTGGGTTACAACAATATAGATTGCATCCATGGTTGGGAAACTGGATGGTTGCAAAATCCTGCACCAGTTGGTAGATGGTAAACGTCTTATGTTTTGCCATTAGAATTCCAGTGTTTCATAGGAATCCCAATAGTTACCCTGCCTGGTGCAGGATGTATTCCCTCCCCGGCTCCGGCACAGGCAGCCTACAGTGCAGGGCAGTACTCTGGGCAACAGGCCCGTGACAAAAAAGTCACCGTGCAGAAGGGGTCGTGCAGGCCGGTGCCCCTAGTTTTGTTAGCTAAGTTGGTGAACATAACTTCAATAACTAGGGTTTATGGTGTATATATATATGTATGTATGTATATGTATGATATATATATACATGTTTTATTTATTTACATATTTATTTACTTATACCTAATTAATGGAGGTTTTGAACCAACAAACATAACTGGAGGTAGGTCACCACCCTGTGAGTAGGTTTAGCATGGTTTACCTCCAATGTATGGCCAAGTTCAGAGTGAAAATGATGATTGAGCAGTGGGGAACAAACCACTTGACTTAAGGAGTTGACATCGTCCAAGTTTTTGGCCATTCCTGGTCAATGGTGAGAACAGGACCAAAGTTTCAGAAACATCCATACCAAGTCTCCTTGCTTTTTAGATAAGTACATTTTTCAAGATTTTGATATGGTTGGAATTCAAATAGACCACGGTATAGGTTCAGTTCATTGTAGATTTTCGGTCCCAAATAAGTGCAAATCTTCTACTTAACCATGGTTTCGTTTGGGGGTGTTCAATATTAGGGGGGAGGGGATTATTGGCACTTATGATCCATTAATAATCATGAATACCATTAATAATCCCATAATATTCATGATTAATCCCAAAGATTGACAATGATTCCATTAATAATCATGATTAGTAATATTAATATTCCATTAACAATCATTAATCCCATAATATTCTCAATTCTCGGATGGTACCGTTAGATTTCCAAAGATTCCTGCTGGCTGGTAACATTGTCGTGAACCCCTGCAACAGGCGGCCTATGCTGCCGGGTGCGATTCTCATGTCGTGATTGTCTCATCCTGTGGTTTAACCTTTGGTTATTCAAGCAACAAATCATGGAGGTATAATTGGTTATCATGGGTTTATGGTGACTTATTTTTAATGTATGATGATTTCCCTTTGATTATCTAGGATAGCTATGGTATAGATGGCCCAGTTATAGATCATCAACATGATGATTACCCAAAAAAATGATGTTCCAGTTTCCTATGTAACAAATTACTGGAGCTAAATCCTGTTGTGGTTTAATGTGGGATCCATCCCAGATGAAACGTTTACAAATATGTGGAAAACCCGTGGGCAGACCCTAGGACAATGATCTACAAAGGGATACAACTTCCACATGTGTATATTGGTTTAATGTGAGATCTACCCATCCAATATGGCAACCATCAACCATGTGGATTTTCCAATAGCAAGAAAGGGAACGTGAATCAGACACAAAATGTTTTTTTTTTTTTTCTGGGGATCCAGAATCACAAACCATCTCCAAATAGGATTCATACAATTGGATATACGGTTTACGGATGTTTACGGCATACCCTTATAAGTGTGATGATGCGCAGATGACCCTCTTTCAGATTAACAGAATGGTTTGTTGGATGGAGGGTTGTTTAGTAATGCGATAGACTCAGTGCCGTAAAAAATCCTCAGTGACATACCAGAACATGTGCAGATGACAGGAGTGTTCCGACCCTTTAACTACGGAGCGTTTTGGTACTTATTCGGAAAACAATGCCACAGACATAACCTCTTCCTCACCAAGCATATCAATTGAAGTCGAGGAGGCCTTGTGAGGCAGACGGATTTTCCAGGGAAAACCATTTGATAAATGGCTTGAGGATGAAGACTTGTGGTTTTCTGTCCTATTCGCAGGAAAAGCAGAAGCTTCCTGCCAGTCAATCCTAACCACCGGATGACTGCATCTGTAGACAGACTCACCAGGTGGTTGTAGAAGTCCTTTCTCAACGGCATGCTTCGATGCAAAGCATTGGAAATATGTTGGGCCACGGGCCACAGATGGACCAGTTTTTTGTTCCCAGCACAAAAAGTCCACCACTCGATAGCAAGAAGGAGACGCATGGCATCTTGGATCCACCATGCCAGAAGAGTTACCCCACATTCAGAAGGATCTTAAAGCCATGTTAACGCATCTCAAACCAATCTTTAAACCCAAGAATGTCAATATGCAGCACCCAAATGATGGTTTTTATCCATCTGAAACCCATCTTAAACCCAAAAATGCCCAGAAAAAGGCACATAAACACACATGCATATAAGAATTCTAAGCCCATCTTAAACTTTTTAAGCAAATCCTTTAAACCCACGGTTCCTTTAAACGCCGAAGACCTTCCTGAGGCAGCAGGCGTATCAGACCGCCGCCGCCACAGCCAGCAGCGGATATGGGGGCGCCTACCCACCACAGGTGCGGTGAAGGATTGGAGATTCGATCAGGATTTCACAAGTGGTTAGATATCCAACCAATGTTTAATGATGGTTAATGGTGGTGAATGATGGTTAATGTTGGTTAATGATGTTGATGATGGTCGATCTATGGATTATCATGGGATTACAATGGGTTATAATGGTTAATGATGGTGAATGATAGTGGTTAATGATACTTATTACCCTCTGGTTATTTGACATAGCCATGGAAGCCATGGCCCATAGAAATAGATGGTTTACCGTTCTTAAAAATGGTGGATCTTTCCATGGCTATGTTAAATAACCAGATTGTAGTTGGATTTATGGCCAATAAATTGCCTGGTTGGTGGTTTGGAACATGAAATTTATTGTCCATTTCATATATGGGATGTCATCCTTCCCATTGATGAACTCATATTTTTCAAGATGGCAACAAAACCACCAACTAGTAATGTAGCTCTTGGGTTTATCCTGAGCATAGGATTGTAGTTACTGTAATAGGATTAGAAACCAACTTATATGTATGTATATACATATATATATATATGATATATTATGATATATTAGAATCTATGGGATTATTTTCTGATTACTGGGATGAACTTATTAAGAGTATTGGAGATATGATCCTGTTAGTTTTGGATATGTTTGATTGGTTTTTGTACCTCATACCTACACATAATATGCATTTATACATATATTAATATCATATTCTCCATTATATAAACATCTTTGATCATCTCCCTATTTTGGTGGTTAACAACTCTGAAACCCCGAGCTCATTTCCACTTACTATTCCCTTGTATCCCCATTAAATCCCATTAACTCACCCTTAGATTCCATTACATCCTAATCAATCACCATATATGGACTAGAAGGTGGTGCCCCCAAACCATCGCAAAGTTGGTGAACATAAGTCCAATTAAACTAGGGTTTTTGATATTTTGTTTATATAGTATTAGGGTTTACATGCATTATTCAACCATGATTTATCAATTATTATCTTGATTAACCATCATTTCACCATAGTATTCATTGGGTTTATAAACCAAGAAACAGCCATGTGGAAACACAGCTTGACGGTGTAGGCCCAGACTGGCTATGGAGCCCCGCCGGGCTATGGCGTGGGAGGGCCCAGAGAATCTCTACAGGGTGAGAAGACCAATGGGAGATGGCCCATTAATATCGTGTAATATCTGGCCTATATATTTGGTATATCTATACATGTACATATATAATATACATTATATATATAATGTAAGCATATATATACCTGTTTCCATAATTGGGGGTCCCCAAAATGGATGGTTTATAGTGGACAATACTACTAAAATGGATGATTTAGGGGTACCCCTATTTTAGGAAACCTCCATATATCATCTTCCCATAATCATTACTATTTCAGCTGGATGGGTAGAGCTCAATCCTGAAGAATATGCTGCAGTTTCAATAGGACGATGTACGTTCACCAGCGAACAATTCCTGTTTTGCAAGGTATCTAAGATCGGCAATGGGTTATAACTCCCATTAACTATAGTTATAAGTGTCTTAAACCAGAGTCATTGGAGTTATGTTCACCAACTTAGCTATCGTTTCCCCGCCCTTTGCATGGAGTGCAGGGGCAATGCCAGCCTCGTTTCACTTGGAGACTTGAGCTGGTAATTTGATTCCTTCTTTTTGGGAAGGTGTAATTTGCCAAAACTGTTATATATTAGGATTTGATGCCTCTCTCTTTTTGGGCGGCTGCTATGTACTATTGAATCTTCGGGCCCTTCTTGTGCAGCGGCTACATCTACTTCAGCAACGGCTGCGGTGGCATCTACAACGTGCCCAGCTGGTTCCAGTTGGCCTGCAACTGCGCCACCGCCGTTCTCCAGGTCTGCGGCTGGACAGGCATCAGCTGTGAGTGCCAGTTTACCTATTTCAGAAATTTACCTATGTTAGGATAAATTTAGTAGGCACCATGAAAAGAATTGAAAGGAACATATTAAATACAAAGTGCCAGTTTGCCATTAATGTAGGCACCATCAAATCTTTCACAGATTTATAATCATCTATACATGGGCCAGTGTATAATGATGACAGGTAACTTTTGTAGGCTTTAAATCTATCGCTTATTTATAATCCCAGCGTGACCGGCGTCCCCGAGGCTCAGTATGGACAGCCCGCCACGGCCTATCCGACCAATCCGACCACTGTCAGGGTGCTCGGGGTGTCAGGTCACTACGGAAGCAAAAAAAACGTGGAGATTGGGGAACCATCTAACCTGGTTGGTGGTTTGGAACATTTTTAATTTTTCCATATATTGGGAATAGATGGGAATAGTATATAACCCCAACTGACTAATATTTTTCCATATATTGGGAATAGTAACCCCAACTGACGAACTCCATCATTTTTCAGAGGGATAGGTATACCACTAACCAGTAACAATCGGGAGTTAAACATCAAATATGGATAAACCTGGATGAACCAACTGGTTGGCCACATTTTTGGCTTTGTCCAAAAATGGGATATACAGCTGTACCCGAAAACTACAACAGGGACAATGATGATTCATGTGGGTAGAACAATAATAAACAATCCCCCAAATCACCACAAATAGCTGCTACAATTGCTACAAACCATTCCCAAATGGGTGGTTTATTATGGTTTATTAATTGTTTTACCCACAGTTATCATTTTTTTTGACTACCGGCGCTGGATTTTCCGACAAACTTCTATGTGGACATGGGCCGTGGCTTTGTATGAGGATGGGGCATGAAATCAAACTCCCACTGGCTGGTAGTTTTGCCCCTTTTTTTCAGACACATCCATACCTGGTTGGTGGTTTGGAACATGTGTTATTTTTCCATATATTGAAAATAATCATCCCAACTGACTAATATTTTTCAGAGGGGTTGAAACCACCAACCAGCATCCATACAATCCCAATAATCTTGACAGGGAATGTGCCATGAATTTGGGGGGTACCCCAGAGAACCCGAAATCTTCACGACTGAAATCCAGGGTTTCTCTGCACGTTGCTAGACGCTGTGAGAATTCATGTGCATCAGGGGGGAAAACAGTTTGTGAAGTTGCACATACTTTTCTTGGTTTACGAGGCTATGTTTTTTGTTAGTTCGGAGTGCGGGAGCCGTAGATCTAACTAGAGTATCATGATAGGAATCTATATATCATTCATGATTACCATAGACATCACTGTTAATCCGAGTTGTTTTCAAGTACACTCATATCTTCATATATTGAGAAATCCGGTGATGGATTATATACCACCTATACATTGTGTTCCACAAATTTGAGAGTATGAAAATCCAATTTACCATTTATTTTAGTATTCATTCGGGTACCATGGTTTTGAACCGTAGACATTTGAGACATCGTCAGGAAATTAATAGAAACTCAAGTCCAATCGCTTTGGGTTTATCTTCGTACCAATATATGACTGGTTGGTGGTTTGGAACATTTTTTATTTTTTCATATATTGGGAATAATCATCCCAACTGACTAATATTTTTCAGGGGGGTGGCTCAACCACCAACCAGATGAGGTGATGTATAATGGACAGCAGCGTTATGCAATGACCAATTCCATCGAAGCCATATCACCGTTTTCATCCCACCATCGGTAGTTATTTGATTTTCTACTCGCATTGTTCTTCTTATCAAATCCCAAACAAAATGATGATGTTCATGGTTGAATCACCATATGTTGTTTTATTAATTATCTCAATCTAAACGGAATGATGCTTGGACTATACCATTCTGATGATTGTCTCAAGTTGCTAAATCCCACTAAAATCGCATGACATCCTTATTTTTCATGGTTAAATCAAGTGAAGTCCGTATTTTGATTGGCTACTCCCATGAAATCCATCACTGGGACCGCCTTCGCACTTCCGAGGCTTACGCGACAGCGGGATACGGCTTGGGGCAAAGCTCGGATCTCAAATTTGCCGCGTAAAAAATTGAATTGAAAAGATCTCCCAATGACCAGGGCTAGAATGAAAAAAATCAACGGACCAAGACCAAGAATGACCAAGAGCACGATAGTTGAGCAAATGGAGGTTGAAGTTGTTGGTAGTTGGGAATGGTTTCATGGCCACTATGGTTGGTAAATGATTATGCTCATATTCTAGTGGGATGATCTAACTCACGTTTGGGTCAACCCTGGATAGGTAGTTACCTTGATACTTCAAGAATCTACAGTCTTTAGGACATATTGACTAACCAGCTGAGAAAACTAGATGTGCTCAGTGCTTACAGTAGTATTTCAGATTCGTAAGCAATGTGCATACTTTCACTCGTGGTTGCATAATGTTGCTTTAAACAAATGCAACTGATGAATTGACTCTTTCGGAATGGGGTGCAACCACAGACCATCTAAATGGTTCTCCAATTTCCCATGGGGTCATATCAGCATTTCTTCTTGGAATCCCGGTTGGCAATTGGTGTTTCCAAGCCATATATCTTTAACTGGGGATATTCCATCAATCCAACGGGCTTTTGGTGATCACTTGGAGGATCATCCCACTTAGTGGTGAATAACCCTGGTTAGTAAATCCCCATTCAGAAGTCAGTGGATTATCCCATTTATCAATAGATTATAACCCAGTTACTAACCACTTACTACAAGTTGGATGATCAAGTAGTACTAACTCGGGATATTTCATAGAAATCTGCCTGGGTGGTTTCCCATTGTTATTAAGCACAACATCTATAGATCCTACCCATCAGTGTGGCTCACTCAGGTCCATACAACTACTTGCAGCAGCCCAGCACTAGCGCCTCCGGAGTGGGGGCCAGCCCAGTGAGATCAGCGACATTTGGAGATATTTTAGTAGGGAATATGACGAGAAAATCCAATGGATATTCAGAATATAGACAAAATTCCCAATAATCCTATCCCATATATTCCCATATCATATGGATGTTTCCTAAGTCATGGGGGTACCCCAATACCTGGAAGGTTTATTTCATGGAATATCCTCTTAAAATTGATGGTTTGGGGTAGCCCTATTTTCGAAAACCTCCGTATGTGTCCTTGGTAAATTATAGTCACCTCACGTCGTGACCTCACTGGAATCATGGTTAATAAGGGTCATAGTCATAGTAGTTATCTTGAAATGGCCTAATTTCATTTGGGGATATACTTGTTGGATTTTCCCCGTAGATGGGAATATTCTTGCTTAAAGCGGAATATCGGGTATCTAAAAATGGCCATAATGTGTGTGTGTGTGTGATTGTGTGCGTGTTTCTTTGCTATAGTTATTTTTGCGCCCAAGGAAATAGTGATTTTGGTGCAAAACATTGGGGATCAAACCGCTTTAACCAAGGGAGATTTGCCGATTTATTGGCACAGGTGAAGGATAATAAAGTATCTGTTGATTTTTTGTGATGGGTCGCAAAAAAAGTGGTGCCCCATGGTACTTGGCTAAATGGCCTTAGAACATTCTATAACTACGTAGGCTAACTCGGGTTTGTGGTACAGTAATATACAGTTGTACCTTTAGTTAGTGGCGGTTATAAACCAAATCAGAACTATGGGCACACCAGATTGTAGGAGTAGCCAATGTATTTTGCCCATCTAAAATCCAGCTCCTCTAATTAATCAGAAACAAAGGATTGTGGTGAACTGTGCCAAAATGAGGTAACGAGGAAGAGATGGAGTTGGCCCGGACATGACCGGATGTTTTTTTTCTCCGTGGGATGACATGGGATGATGATCCTACTTGATTATAGGCTAGGCTATAGATGGTTATAGTATCAAGTTATCATCCAGTTCTTTCTATAGCTTCTATTGCTTTTTGGAACTTGTCATTTTTTGGGATTGGTTAGCACCAAAAGAAATCCCTTTCTCGGCTTAGCCGGGGCGGCCGTGGGGGCCTCCGAGGTGGTCGCCTATGGAAGCTACCAAGGAGCTCAAAGCCAGGCCAGTTTTCGTCGGAGGGGGGAGGGGTGGATACGGGTGGAGAATGGAATGATCATTGGAAATTGGAACAGTCTGGAACAGTGGGACCATACCCTCTGGTAATTTAACATAGCTATTGAAAATGGCAATTTATAGTGAGTTTTCCCATTAAAAATGGTGATTTTCCATAGTTATGTTAGTTTACCAGAGGGTACCACTGATTTAGTAGCATCAAATTGGCTATGAGTCAATATCTGTACTTTTTCCATAAAAGTGGGGGGTGAACATCCACAGACACCAGCTACTTTGCTGTGAACAGCAAGATACAGGCTTTTAACCCAAAACATCCCAAAACCATTGGGAGGGATCCCAATTTTTTGACCGGAAAGACCATGGAACATATGGATGTGTCAAAACCTGGGGTATACCCCCAAAGTGACGGTGTTTTTGATGAAGGAACACATGATGATTATCTGATTTGTTCCAGTCGTTGTTTGGGTGGTTTTAGATCAACCCGTCTGGGATTGTACAGGTGGTGGTCAGAAAAATTGATCTTTATTGACTGTTAGTTGGAGGCTAAGCGTACAACCTATCCCATCCATCCATCCCATGAAATAACATGTTGGTTTGGCTAGATATCTGCATTATAAGCTATAAGAATCTTCAACAAACCAGGTAGATTGACAACAAACTTTCTACGTACTTTGAATGGTTCACAGAAGTGTGCGCAATGGCACTTTCTCAATAGGGGAGTCGTTTAATTTTTACCAACATCCTGGAGAGGGAAATCATGATTGTCCCAACCATGTTGCTTCGCAGTGCGTGCAATCCCTGCTCGGGCATTGACCATGCCCTCTAAGTTGGGTGATATATGGATAGCCCCTTGTAGAGGATTTCCAACTGCTATGTTTGATTACTGGAGGGTATATAAATTGAAATGTAGGGCTTTCCGGATTCATGTTTTCACATCATGCAATTCTGGGATGATATACCCTCTGGTATTCAAACATGGCAACGGACATTTCGAACCGCTTTGCTTCGGGATGAAAAAAATTGTTCCACTCAGAAACCTCCAGCCTCTACGTAGCGCAATTCCCAGCCAAGCATGTTTGATACATTCTGATACATTTTGATACATTTTGATACATGGATAATGGATAATAATAACATTGCTTCGATATTTCCATTATCCATTGTTGTTTGACATCATGGCACTCAATGGCACTCATCAATCAGTCAGGGGGGCAAGATGTTGCTTTGCTTGATCCACTCCTTGCACACAGCTGGCTGAAAGCTGGCAAGTTGGAACATGTCAGTGATTGGCTATTGTTTCTCTGCAGTCTTGGTCGATGAACATTGGAGGATCCCAGTTTGCTGCTAAGTTTGTGCCAACCAAGTTGGAGGGTTCATTTGGCACGCACCCTTTCATGGCCTCTTGTGTCAAGCTCTTGGGAAATGCATGTTCACTTTGGCGTGCACCAGACAGGGTTTTGTCAAGCAATTTTGTGGCACTTTGGTTGTCGCCTTTGTCACGCATAACTTGTTTGATCGCCAACTTCCAACTGATGAGACAACAGTCGAGCAATTGCATCAACAACTGCGCCAGCAGTTTGCTATACCCCAGTACAATCCCATTAAACCCCAATTGTTTGCTATTGTGATTCCATTACAGTATATGCTTGGTTCAATGACCATGTTGGATTAATAATTTTGATTCGGTTTACTTCCACTATATACCAGCATTTAAATTTTTAAGTATGAATTTCATGTCATGTCCCACCGAAAGGATCCGAAGTCAGCAAGTCTCACTGCTGACTTCAGGTCCCACAGGCTGCGACGTCACAAGTGCAGTACACGCAGCCTGGGCAGGCGGAAGGGTGGCCCAACCGGTTGCGGTGAGAGACTGGTGATATAGGGATTGAATGGGGGGGTTCAGTACCCAAAAATTGATGGTGCTGGCTGTGAAAATCATGGAGGTTTTTTGGAGCAATTGACAAACATTGAGTTTTAATCAACAAGAATTGTCATTTAACCAGCAACAATGAGGAATCTAATGGATAAAAATGGAGAATATAATGGAAATATATCATAAATCTATATAAATCTAGGGCTTTACCGTCAAACATTGGGATTTAAGTCAGATTTAGCTAGCAATGGTTTCTGCTGGATCGGAACGAAAAGATCTACAAATAACGATCCAAATGGATCTGAACACTTAAATAACAAAAATTGTGATTGAAACGTCAACGGTGATGATTTACCCAACAACAATGGTTGTATCATGGGACATGTATATATAGTCGTAGAGAATATAATGATTGATTTTCTATTGCCATGTTTGATTCCCAGCGGGTAACCATGAAAAAATAGGATTTAAGACAGCAAGTGGGTTAGTTCACCCCAATGAAGAGTGGGGTTGGATTAATCGAGTTACAACCGGGGTCATAGAAATGGACGGTGAATATCCTTTGGTGATTCGACATAGCTAATTTTGTGGCCAATTTAGTCTGATGATTTACCTGCAAAACATGGTGATGTTTGTGTCGAAAGTTACCAGAGGGTAGAAGAAAAACATGGATAAATGACAGAACAGAGACGCAAGAGCAGTTGGATGGAGCTTGAACAATAGAAGTAGCTTTGATATTATATAATATATATATATATATGCCATGATATCCCTATATAAAATGCAGAGCTCCAGACTCGGCATAACAGGTTTTTTTGGGGTGTGACGATGTCATTTCTTGTGCCACGACGCCATGATGAAACATGCCTGGTGGATCCTGGTGCCATACCAGCAGTGAGAAATATGTGACCGTGACCTCAATGCCTTGCATTTTATAGATGGCATGCCTTAAAATTCAATGTTTCTGAGAGGGTAAACCCCCGTTCAAATTATAGATTTTAGAGGGTCCCCTTGAAATATAGACATGTCGGGGGCCCAGCCCCACATTTTATATTTATAAAATGGCGAGTAGGACCCCCCCTCTGAATAACAGCATGTATGGTTTGAGTATTGGGAATCAAGAGCTACTGTATATGTACCAATAGCCTGTTTTTTACCACATATTCCCATGATCTTTAGGTTTCCAAAATTAAACATATCATGATCATAATTTTAACATGTCACAGATTAAGGTTTCCCATTATATGACCTAACATGTATAGGTTTCCCCTTATAACATCAATATTTTCTGGTAACAAGACCCATTTAACCATCGGCTCCATGACCTTTTTTTTGCCCAGACTGATCCGTCCGTTGCCACTGGAAGTTTGGCTCGGGCTCCCGGCCCGTCGTGGTATCCCATGGATTTCCATTGCAATCCCAATGGAAAATTGCCTAAAATGAGAGTTGGAGACTTTAGACAAATATGTAACGTTTATATTTTAGACATATTATAATCAATCATTTTTAGACAAACCGACCCAATACTATGAATTATACGCCCATTAAGTCGCCTTACATTTCACATGGACCCCAGTTCAAAGGGGTCTGGGAAATGAATGAACCTTATTAAAAAGTGTTATTGGATATCACCATCAATAATTTGGGTTCCATGTTGAGTTTAGGCTGGATGCCCGGATACCCCCAAATAGCCATCAGATAAGTTCCACCTTTGACTGTTGAGCGCAGGGGGTCCCATGTGAACGCCGACCACTTTGGTTCTCCAAAGCCAGAAAGCCTCGTAAATGGGACTTAGGTAGGCTTTGTACCATCTACTGGTTGCGAGGTTGCAGACATCACCACTATTTAGAGGTAAATCATGAAACTCAATGGCTATGGATCAATACCTATACATACCATTTTTAGTGGGATGAACATCCATTTACCAGCTATTTTGATGTTCACTAGGTGCCAGGGTTTTGACCCATCCCCAAATCATGAAACTAAATGGGTAATACCATGGTTAATGTATGTTAATGTGGTGAACCCAATGTCATAAACCATCCCATTCACCAACAAATACGGGATACTTTTTGATCATGGAATTTCCATCATCCCATTGAGGATGGTTTCCTATTGGTTTTGCCATGTTTTGCCACATTGCTGGGATAGTAACATTTTAGCTGATTGGTATACATTATAGCTGGGTAAATTTCATCACGACCTCACTACGACCTCACTGGAAATCATAGTTCGTAAGGGGAATCATCCCAAAATGGCCGCAAGATTCAGGTTAGTGAAATATTATAATTTACCCAGATTAAACGTACTAAGTCACTAAGTGTTTAATGAATGTGCTTTGCTTTGCTTCACCTCTGGCCATGCTGTACTTGCGTGATGGGGGTTTGCTGACTGAGGAACTCTTTGCACAAAGGCTGGCAATCCATATTGAATCGTCCAGATGCTCGCACGACGGAAGGCATACCCGATCCGGACCCACACCAATTACCAAACCTTGAAGAATCTGATGACGAGCACGGGCTGCACGGGCTGCTGAACCAGCTGAAGGAATCCCAGAAAGCCCATGCTCTTTTCGCTGCTGATGCGCAGACGAAGGAACAGGTTAAGCCTAAGCTTAAGCCAGTTGAGCCCAGTTCAGCTTCAGATTCTGAGATTGAAGTGTTCGGAGGCGACCTCTTCAAGGAGTCAAAATTCAAGGGCCTCAAGGCCAATCAACATGAAGAAGTTGATTTGGAAGATGCCCTTGAAAAGCAGATGGACTATGTTGTGTAGGTATGTGTAGGTAATATTTCCTATTGGTTCCAATTTGTGTTATTTTTTTTCAGCTATACTTGGTGGTGCAGTTCCATTAAAAAGTGGGTACTATGCGACCATAGTCACCATAGTTGTAAAGGATCTATCCCAACTTTTGTCTATCCCAGCTTTGGAGGTTAGGCAACCGATGATATCCCACTCCTTACCCATTATATCCATGTATAGATGATTATAGATGTATATCCCATATATCCCATTCTATCCCATTACATCCCATTGTAGTGGATTACTCGGTCACCCCTAAAAGTCAACAAACCAGACCTTGAAATGAACATGAGTTTCCGGCTAAATCTCGGCATATGTAGGTCTCGGTAAACGTTTTCTTCATTCTGGTCAGTTGGAAATTCAAGTTCAGTTCGCCAAACATGTGGAACACCCACATTTTTGCTCAATCAAGCTGGCTGTGCTTTCAAGTTGGGGAAATCCAGGAATCCAGGCATATCCAGGCCATCCAAGCTTCAAAAAAGATCATGATAGATCCAGGACTCAGTGATTCACTATGATTCACCATGATTCATCCGGAATTTGCTACAAACCATTAGGTGCAATTGACCATTTTTCAGTGGGTACTCCTCCAGTCTTGTCATAATCTGATACTTAAATGGTAGCCCCAATTAGCTGTAAACGGGGTTTGTTAATCCAGGCTTGAAAGTTGACATTATCAATTTTCCACTATAGTGGGTTGTCACCATTTATTCATCAATTTCCAGGGTGGAAATAGCACCATTATATAGTTTATTAATCAGTTTGGGGAATCCTTAAAACGGTTGACATTATCTGGTTGGTGGTTTGGAACATGAATTTTATTTTTCCATATATTGGGAATAATAATCCCAACTGGCTAATATTTTTCAGAGGGGTTGAAACCACCAACCAGTTTTGGGAATCCTTAAAAATGCTGCTATTTCCACGTGTCAGCCTCAGGCGGACCAGTCGCAACAGCAATACCTGGACATGGTGCCGCCGGGGGTGATGGAAAAACCGGCCATTTCAGGTACTAAAAAAGACCTCTGTAAGGGCCATTGATTGGTTGGTATAGGCCTATGTCAATAGCTAATTATAAAGATTCAATTTTGGAGGTAGCTGGCATTTTTTTCGGGCTGTAAGGGCTACGTATGGCAACAAAAAGCCGCATATGTTGAGATCAAAGGGACAATCACCTATATCTATTGGTTCCAATGCGTGATGTTTCTTTGCCAGTTTTTTTGGTTGGGACGAACATGTGAGATTGGAAGATGAATGGTGTGTCTTGCAGTACTATTTTTTTTTAATCCCAGCTGAGTTTTACTGGTACCAACATTCTCCGGCAGGGACGAATGATACTGAGGACATGACTAGGTTCGTCACTGGGAAATGTGGCCGTAGTAGCCTAGTAGAGTACCACGCTGGGAAGCAGCCGAACCAGGCCAACGTTCCGAAACATGGGACTTGTTGGTTGCATTCCCAGACGTAATATTCAATGCATAACCATCATTTCAGCGGGTTGATTCAAAACATGTGTATATATATAATATATATTTTATTATATAATCCTATTACATAAACCGACACCACCAATCATTGCCTCAAAAAAAATGATGAGCCAACCATTGCTGAGGGTTGTGCAATCAAAATTGCAAGGCGGCCCACAATCAGCCCCTTAAATTAATTGGAGCTATTGATGTCATTATACTTAGCCAAACATCAAAACATGCTGATGGTGGTTCATCATCCCAACTGACTAATATTTTTCAGAGGGGTTGAAATCACCAACCAGTCTATAAACGGATCATCCTAGTAAAAATAGATGTAAATAGGTTAATTATAACCGTTCAATAATAAACATCGTTTTTTTTCTAGGGGCAGTGTCCACTTAAAACTATCACGGCGGGCTGAAGTAAGCTGGATCCATTTCCTGGGCTGAGCCGTAAACCGCCGTAAAGCTCCTTTAAAATTTAGGGATATTTGGGGATTGTGTATACGCCTCATCAAAAAGGTGATAACTTGGGGATGGTTTATTGATGTTTATTTATTGGGTTTACCGTACATTATTCAGCTCAAAGCTGGTCTAACTGCAAGTAAGTGTTCCCTTTTTCATCCCACAAAAACATGATGACGGATATCTAGAAAGCCTGAAAGTCGGTGTTCTATAGCCCGACTGCTTATCCTACTTTGTTTTTGGACCGTAGGTCACATTTGCATTCATGAGTATAGTAAGAAACCGCCATAGCCGCAGGGTTTATAGCCATGTTGTGATTTTGGTTATGTCCATGAAATCACCACTCAAAATTGAGAGACACAGAACAATACTAAACTATGATAAACTATGCACATCCATGCACATCCCAATCACCCCAATAAATTATTCTCCTACGTCTCGGATATTTCTTGTGTTTTTTTGAAGCTTCATCCTTGGTCAGTCGTAGCATCTTTGCCCAAGGCAGTAACTCTTCAGTAGAGTGGCCATGGCTGGCACGGATTTTTTGCTTGTTTTGCCACTCGATGACTTGTTCAAACATTGTTGTATATACTCCACCATTTTCAGCAATGGCCATTGAAAAGGTACCTAAACTGGAGGTACTGTACCATGTACAGCCATATTTTGGGGGTATATGTGACAGAAGATAAGATGTTCGAATTTCTTCTGTGGTGCAATTTTCTGACAGTGAAGATTTTGCCAATGCCTGCGGGTGCACGTGCTGCACCAATGGCGAGGGACTTGCACCCATGCCTACAGTGGGCTGGAGCAGACGTGGACCGTGATTGCAGTCTTGAAGATGAGCCGGTGGAACCCTGCCGCAAACGGCGTCGCACAAAACCAATGCCTCCCCGAAAACGGATGGTTTACCAAGAACAGAAATCTCCCAAAAGATGCAGAGAAGTCAAATCCCACTGAAATAATGGTAACTCAGCCGTTTCTTATATTTTCTAATGGTTTCTACACTGTAGTGCTGCGGTGCTCCCTCAGTTGCTGGTTTAGAGCTCCCATTACATATATATATATAATAATATATATATTATACATATATATATATATTATACATATATATATTATACATATATATATATTACATCCCATGGTATATGTGTATATATATATATATCCAGCATAAATCCTTGTTATGTCAGTTATAAACCAACTTAGTCAAAGTCAGCTAGGGCTGCACTATACTGTACCAGAATTGACCAGATGCGTGTGTGCATTGTTTGGAGGATCATCTCGCGAATCGCAAGTAGTTAGCAATCATAGTTCTAAACCATATATATATAACTATAGATAGATGTACATATATATATATATGATATATATATATATATGATATATATATATATATGATATATATATATATATCATATATATATATCATATATATATATGAGATAATCCCACTGAAGAGGGACTTACCAGCTAGGCTTATAATCGCCACTTTTTTTCCGTGGGATGATCCCTTTCCTGCGCGGCCTTCAGACATGTCGTGCAGGTGTGGCAGCTCTCAGACATGTCTCTGAACGACAAGGCGGGATGGTTTAAATGGAATTCAAGGTACCAGGGTGGGGCCCTTTAGATAACTAAGTTGGTTTATAACTAGGCTAACTATGGTTTATGATACTTATAACTATAGATGTTTGTTGGTTTAGGTTTAACATGATATAACTATAGTTAATGGGGGTTATAAACCAACTTATAACTAGGGGGCACCACCTGAGAAGTAGAAGCACACCAGACTGCCAGATGTTGGTCGTTTCTGGTAACATGTAGTGACCACTGGCAACATGTAGTGACCACTGGTAACATGTAGTGACCATTCTACTTTTTGGTATGCCTGATCATTTTTTGAGGTGGTGCATTTTTCCTTGCAAAACAATGAAACCCACATTGAACCCCTTGAGTTTATGCGTAGTTAACTGTCTAACTATTCTGCAACTGATGAATATTGTATGTATATACATATATATATATACAGGTTAACTGCCTATCACAAATGATCTCAACCCCCCAACAGCATTTTATTGGTTGTATCAACTTATGTCTCCCATTATATGATTCTCCCCTTGTCATTGTTTGTCCTGATTTTCCTATGATTTTCCCAAGTTTTTTACCAACATGTTTCCTGGTTTTTCCCATGATTTTCCATATGTTCTCATGATTTTCCCACGATTTTCCCATTATTTTACCCCCATCTCCCAACCTCTTCCCGCCACCGAACTTTTCGTCAACGCCGCAGCAAACGTTGCCGGCGCCTCCAAACCAACAGCCTCCAGCACCGCCTGCGTCGGGGAAACCCAGCGTGGAATTCGCAAGCAACTGTACACATATACACATATTGAGTACCCTCTGGTAAACTAACATAGCTATGGAAACCCACCATTTTTTATGGGTAAATCAACTATAAATGGCCATTTTCAATAGCTATGTTAGTTTACCAGAGGGTACTAATACCATCATAAGTGGTGAATTAACTAGCAGAAACGGTGAATGAAGCAGCAACAGCTTCGTGAATTCGCCAACAAGAAAGTTGTGGTATGATGGCAACGGGATAGAATCCCATCCCCCTAATATTCAACACCCCCATTGTACCCTCTGGTAAACTAACATAACTATGGAAAATCACTATTTCTCATGGGAAAATCAACTATAAATGGTGATTTTCCATATTTATGTTAGTTTACCAGAGGGTATGGTCCCAATGGAATGTGGAAATTCCCTACTCAACCATGGTTTCGTTGGGGGGTGTTTGATATGAATAGGGGAAGGGATGGTTATGGGCCATTACTATCCATCAGCAACCAGGAATACTAACTACAAAATTCCTTAATTATATTATACCCTCTGGTATTTTAACATAGCTATGGAAAATGGCCATTTATAGTTGATTGACCATAAAAATGGAGATTTTCCATAATTAGTTATGTTAGTTTACCAGAGGGTAATATGTGTATCGTGTATGATACTTACAACTATAGTTATTGGTGTTTAT